TTCCGATAGGAGATAATTCTTTTATACTACAGAAATAAAGATGAGACTGACATTTGGGTACTCTCTAACTCAGTTGCTCTGAATGAGGCAACAACACTGTTTAGTATTAATTACAAATAGGATGCTTCCAGCACACCAGGCTAATGAATCCTGTGTGAAAGCACGTTAAGTCATGCTGAGAGAATTTTATCAGGAAGAATAAAACTCTCTAAACCTATTTGTGTTGGTCACTATATCATAAAGCATTTGTGACATTAAAATGTATGACAGATTCAAGACCATTATTAGTCAACTAAAACTTCAATGAGAATCATCATATATATACTTAGCACTAGGTACATATTTCAATCTTTTACTGAGTTAGCACCCATGACTACCTTCTTCATAGAGAAACAACTGGATTTTGGACAAAGACAGTAGCTTACCTGCAGTGATGTTACTGTAGAAAGATCTTTAAGTTTTCCTTCTTCATCTTTTAAGTTGTACCCCTCTGGTCTCTTGTCTCTTTCAGTAATTTTCCATAATTTGATTGTTTTATCTTTAAAAGAAAAGACAAACAAATGTCAGCATAGGAATTCTGAAAGTGGTTATTCACCTTTCACAATATATTCCTTAAAGAAGTTTCTCCGCCTTGGTTTAGAGAAGTCCCATGCTGAAACAGTTTGGGTCACTTAATTTTGGACATGCAGAAAATGTTGCAAACAGAAAAAATACTCATAAAGCACATCCCATACCTTCACACCAAGTCAGAGGTTCCTCGCAGCTGACAGGCCACATAGAGCACATGCTGCTCTCGTATCCAACTTGGAAGTTTGCGGGTGGAACAGACCCAAACCACTCAATGCTCACTGCTGAAGCTCAGTTTGACAATTTGACTTTGCAAGGAAATAAACTTGATATTAAAGCCAGTTTGCTAAGTTACAGCACAAGAAGAGCATGGAGTAGACAGACAGACCAATGATACCTGCCTGGCCCATTGTGGGGACGGGCAGTGGTGTATCGGCGTAACGTCAGGAGCTCCAGCAAATGAAAGGCTGTGTGAAAAATGAGGCATTTCTCCCTCCTAAGGGAAAGCAGCTGAGAAATAACCAAGGGAAAAAAACTGAGAGAATTGTGTTTTAAGGATAAGAGAGAGAAGTGCAGAGAAAAATATATTAATCTTCCATGGAATGAAGTTAAATCTAAAATCTCCCTTTTTCACAATGGGTGAAGCACACGATGATAATTAAGAATGCCTCTCATTTAGCAAAGAGCCTCTGAAGCCCACAAATGAAAGTTTTAAACATTTCAGATGGAGCTTGTCCTTGGTTTTGTAGTAGCTAAAGCTGCAGATTTCCCTAAGGCTGATCGTCCACTCCCACTCTGGTCGTGCACTCAACCTGCCAACCCCAGCACTCCCTGGGCTGAAAAATCAATGCAAATTCTTCTGCAAAAAATGTGTCCCTGAGCTTCTAACAGTTGTTTTGCTCACCTGTTCATGGAGCAGCCAAAGCCTTTCCAAGGCATCTGCACTTCAGCTGCCACTGCAGCTTTCATTAACCTCTGTTCCTGTATAATTTCTGACTTCATCTCTCTCTTTCCCCAAGTACATAGCAGAGCATAATTTTTTCCCTAGTGTGGCTGATCTAAATACTTCTTTCAAATGCTAGTACAAATCATTTTAAAGCAGAATATATGAATACATGAATCACTTTGCATTTCTATAGCAACTTGAACTTTTACCTTTTTTTATTTCAAAATCATTCCCCCCACTACTCTGAGTGTTTTTACTATTATGCATGTACTAACAATATTGACATGCTAATTTTCAAGCAACAAAAATATTACAGTTGATCAATCTACAGAACAAGAGCTTAGTTCAATCTGCAACTCAAAAGCTCCATTTAAACATTCAATACTTTTAATTTGTATCAGTCACATTACATAATTATTAAAAATACACATAGGCCATGTCATGCACTTGGTATTTTTATTACATG